GTACTTTTTTTAAGGAACGGTAATTTATTTTTCTTTGTCACTGTTTTTTACTTATTAGTATTATAAAATCAATGCATGCACATCACAAAAACCTCAGGAAGTATGGAAAAATAATCAAGAAGCAAGGGGGGAAAGTCCCTCCATCATCCCTTCTGATCATTATTGGCCAGAAGGGAGAAGGACAGAGCTTTTATACGGACAGGGCTTTTATACAATTACAGTTTTGGACACTCATGGGGAAGTTCTACCCTGTCCTCTAGGGCTGTATGAGCTGAGTCAGCATCAACCGGATGGCAGCGAGTTTGGGTTTGGGGTTTTGTTAGCCAGGTAACAACCCCCCGACTACTCTTTCATTTAGCCATTACCATTATGTATTCCGAGATCTTTGTTTTCACAATTGAGTATTCTACCAGGAAGATCCTGTGAAAAGAAAAATCAATTTTGAATTTCATTATGAATGTGAACCCGGAGACCTGATGGCCATTCTTTGTACTCTGAGCATCTCCGACAGCGGGTTCTTGTGACACCTGCTGCCCTCGTCCTTTGTTAGGGGAGGCCTCTGCCAAAGGGACAGGGCCTGTTTCCGTTGTGGAAATAATTATTCAAAACAAATTGACCCTTTCGTAATCTGGGTTTAATCACATTGGGCCAGCCCTCCTTCCCGTGAACATTTTTACCCAGCAGAACAAGGTACTGACTATCCTTAAAAGAGCCAGTTTGAAGAAGTGTGCTCAACACAGGGCAGCCGTCACGCAGATCTGATGGGAGGAGTGGAGGTTGTGGCCGAGAGGATTCAAAGAGGAAGTGCAACCTGAAGTCAAGGTGATGGTGTGTCGACAAGTCACGGGACTTAGAGCCGTAGACATTGAGATTTGCAGGTAAAAAAGCATTGTCCTAGAGTGAAAACACACCTTTGTAAGAGTGAAATGAGCAGCGTGATTGGAAGTCCAGAGATGGCCCAGACTAGGAGGACGCCCAAATTCACAGAGGGAAGATGAACACTCCACCAGGCACTGTAAGAAGCCAGCATTGTTACAAAGCTGAAGCAAGAACTAAGACTGCGAAATAAAGACTGGCTGGAAGGCAGACAGGGCACTTGCAGGAGGTATGTCTGAGGAGTGGAACTTAGCGGGAGCTGATGGCTCTAATGTATAGGTGGGGTTACATGATTGGGGGAGGGTACATAATTCCAAGTATACCTGCTCTTCAGTTCAAGACAGGATGGTGACAGGGCAGATGTTCCCGAGAGCCTCCTATTAAAATTGCTTTCTCAAGCACGTCTCTCCCTGGGGGTCCCTTGCTATGTGTCAAGTCCTTTAGACATAAGCTATCGAATCCTACATCTGGTGACTATAAAGTCCAGAATCCTGAGAATAAGCTGTGACACTCCGCATCTGCCAGACCACAATAAAAAAGGAAGGATTGCTTTAGGGCAGATAGTTAGACCTACACAAAGGTTAGAGAAACTGCAGTAGAGAAAAGGGAAAAATTTAAATTCCCCGTGATTCACACTAAAAGAACTTTTTTTTGATAGTTACTAGAGTGGGAGGGGAAGTTACAGGCTAGACAAGTATTAGCTTGGGTGCAGGGAAAGGCAACATGTAATAGGAGGGAGGTCAACAAAAAATGATGATGGAGGGGAAGTTTGCAAGAGTTAAAGGCAACAGAGGTAAATACTCTTACACACACAATCCTGCAAGAGCATTGACCTAGCGGTAGACGCATGAATAGGCTGAGCGAGTGTGGGAGAGTATGTTCGTGAATATATACAGGTTTGACTGAGGCTATGTGTGCATGTGAATTTACCTTCACTATAAATATATCCCAAAACTCACACTCACTGCTGTTGTCGCTGCCAACTCATAGCGACCCTAGAGGTCAGGCCAGCACTGACAGAACACTGTAAAGTCGATTATGGCAGAGGTAGTTGGTTAAAACGTAACACCTTACCACTTGATCTCCCTTTTGATCCATTTAAATTTTTTTCAATTTTCATTATTTTCTGCTTTCTTTGTTATTGAGGTTTTTCTGTGTTTTGTTTAGTCACTATTGTTGGGTTTTGTGTTTGTTTGTTTCCTGTTTGTGTTTTATATGACTTCTGAATATGAAATCCAGGACAGGTAGATCTATGGAGACAATAACTGGATTGAAAATTGCCCAGAGGCCTAGCAGAGAAGGATGGGGAGGAATAGGACACTAACAACAAGGAGTGTAAGAAGAAAATGTTCTAAAATTGAATGTGGTGATAGCACAAATCTTCATATGACTGAATGATTAAATTGTATGATTTATGAAGTATCTGCCAATAAAACTTTTTTTTTTTAGTTTTCCTTTCTCCTATGGGGTCACTAAGTAACCCTGGTGGCACAGAGATTACACAATGGGCTGCTAACCACAAGGTCAGCAGTTCCAAGCTACTTCATGGGAGTAAAATGAAGCTTTCTACTCCCGTCAAGAGTTACGGTCTGGAAACCCACGGGGGATGTTCTACTCTGTCCTTCAGGGTTGCTGAGTCGCGAGCAACCCAATGGCAGTGGGTTTGGTTTGGTGTTGTGGGGTCACTACGACTCGGAATTAACCCAATGGCAGTGGGTTTGTGATTTAATAGCAACTCCGGTAGAGGCTCTTCTTTCTAAAACGTGTGCCTGGTGCCACCACTTGAAACTGTATAGTGGAGTTTTGCTTGAGTGATCGATCTGATCTCGGTCCTTCGGATGGTAACTGTTTTCTTGTGGAGAGCATCATAGCTAATCTGCTTCAAGACATGGACCACTGAGTACCTTTTAGAAGCTTTTCAACCATGAGTAACATCGAATGAGACATGGATATGTGCAAATAGGACTGAAACTATGTGGGTCAATTCCCCAGGTGAAAATAGGGGAAAGAGCTCCCCTCCTCCATAACTTTCTCGGGATTTCACTCTGGATACTTGTCCTGTGCCAGCAGCTCACAAGTTATGACCATCCCATTTATGGATAACATACCCTGTCAACCAGTTCTATCATGGCCAACCAAATGAAACAGGATCAGACCCAAAGTTTGACAATTTGGCAGATTTGGCATGGTGCCCACGCACAGGAACGTTACAACGGGTAGAAGGCCAGCAATGAGAGACTGACTCCACAGGGATATAGTGAGCCTTTGCGAGATCCTGACGCATGTGCGAGATTGGATTCTGGGCAGGCCTGCAGGCAAGCAACACACATTCCAAGCAGCATGATGGGCTGCCACCTCGGAGCAGGATGCATCATGTTTGCGCATGCGTCTTTAAGATGAAATCCCAGGGCAAGAGGTTTGATTCCCAGGTGTTGGGCACACTGCCCTGTGAGAGGGAGACTGTGTTCCTAGCCAGGCAGTGAACCTTAGTTTCCTCGTTCTGGCTTATCATTCGGGGTCTTTACTTTGAAAAGTGTGTAACTAAAAATGTACATCTGTTCTGATGACACTTCTTGGCCAGAGCTGATTTGAACCCAGGCAAATGCTTTTCTTTTTTTTTTTTTAATCATTTTATTTGGGCTCATACAACTCATCACAATCTATACATACATCATTTATATAAAGCACATTTGTACATTCGTTATCCTCATCATTCTCAAAACATTTGCTCTCCACGTAAGCCCCTGGCATCGACTCCTCATTTTCCCCCCTCCCTCCCCACATCCCCCTCCTTCATGAATCCTTGATACTTTATAAATTATTATTTTGACATAGCTTACACTGTCCGATGTCTCCCTTCACCCACTTTTCTGTTGTCCATTCCCCAAGAAGGAAGTTATATGTAGATCTTTATAATCGGTTCCCCCTATCCACCCCACCCCCCCTCCACCCTCCCTGCAGCACCACCCTCACCACTGGTCCTGAAGGGATCATCTGCCCTGGATTCCCTGTGTTTCCAGTTCCTATCTGTACCAGTGTACATCTGCTGGTCTAGCCAGATTTGTAAGGTAGAATTGGGATCATGATAGTTGGGGTGGGGAGGAAGCATTTAGGAACTAGAGGAAAGTTCTATGTTTCATCGTTGCTACACTGCACCCCTGACTGGCTTGTCTCACATTTGGTTATGCACCCGCTTTGTTTTCAGTGATAGTATCGGGGAGGTGAGCACACAATGATATGATTTTTGTCCTTTTATGCCCAGGAAAATTCTTAATTATTGTTGTTTCCATTGTTAAATTGTACATTAGGTGAGGGTTTATATTGCACATCATCAAGTTTATATGCAACAATTTCAATCACCAATCAAATCCCCCAGTATTTTGCCCTTCACCTACTTCTTATTTTCTCTTCTCCCTATTGTGGACTATCTTCTGTTACACCCAAGTTAATACCCATCTACAGTCTAGCACATTGCTTCCTCGTCCTTCCCTGCTCCAATCCCATCCCCATGGCTTGACAGTCTCCAAAATCTATTTCCTTTGTCATAAAAGTCTTTATCCTGGTTTTTATGTATGCATCCCTTATAGCAGTTGCTGGACAAATTTATAAAGGCACACTTAGCACCAGACCTAGGGACTGCCTAGAAATGTAATGTCTTTGTCATTTTTAAAAAAAAAAAAATCTAAATATTACTCTAGATAATTCATTACCTTTATATTCCTGGAAGGATATTAGAATAAATTTAGGTGGCTCGAGCCTATCTCTTGGCCAGGAGGATTAGAAAAATCAACAAATGTCTATAAATTATGAATATACTGATTGTAACCCCTGACCTACAGAATGGTTAAGATTTCTCTCTGTCTTTGCTATCTCTTTAGCAGATTGCCACTCTGATAACACTTATTCATTAAAAAAAAACTATCCTTTCTCATCTATTTTTTGTAAAGAGAGGTTTTCAGGTTAGGAGTAGATTTCACAACTCACCACTTTTCCCCAGCATCAGCTTAAATACTTTCTTCCACCTCAGAATTCATTCTGAGCACTGTGGAAACTGTCACTCTGAGAATAAACCAGATGATATAGCATGTTCTTAAATCTGTCTCCTCATTTTTTCTGTCTCCTAGTCAGATACAGAGTTTTGGGATAAGATGCAAGCAGAATGGGAAGAAATGGCTCGAAGGAATTGGATATCTGAGAACCAAGAAGCCCAGAATCAAGTTACGATCTCAGCTAGCGAGAAGGTAATCATTCGTGTGCTATAAATGCTGACCAGCTTTCTGAATTCTTCAAGGTCATAATTAATGGATGAGGCAACAGCTCTCTTATCAAAAAATCCAAGAATTAAACAAATAACTGAATGTCCATCTACCCTAGGAGAAATTCAGATACAACAATACAATCATCTGATATTTGGCAGCCGTCAAACTGGAATGAAATGCTCCCATTTTTGTCAGTGTTGGTTCCATCAGTCGCCTAGCTCTGGGAATCCTGAGTGCTCCGGGCAGATGCTGAGTTACCTGACATTGAGGCTGAGTTGTAACAGGAACTGAGCTAAGCCCACGATGCTTTCGCCAGTCTGTCACCGGAGTCCTGCCTAAGTGCTGACAGCAGAAGTGCTATCCACAGACAGAGGAATGGCATGGAGGCATAGAGTTATATTTCACAAGTGGCCATCATACAGCTGGCGGAGAGATTCATGGAAAAAGATGCCCTTCACACAACCAGGCCAAGTCCCAATATGATTCCTGAGAGATATCCCCCTGACAGAAACCCCAGCAAATGTGTAAGCACTGTGGACAACCAATCAATTGCCCATGAGGTCCTAGTTGCTCCAGTACACTGATTCTCAACCTGTGGGTCATGACCCCTTTGGGGGTCGAACAACCCTTTCACAGGGGTTGCCCAATTCATAACAGTAGCAAAATGACAATGATGAAGTAGCAACGAACATAATGTTAGGGTTGGGGGTCACCACAACATGAGGAACTGTAATAAAGGGCAATGGCATAGGGAAGGTTGAAAACCACTGCTCTAGAATTTATTCTTTTTTAAATGCTTGAGTTCCATATTTCAAAGCATTATTACTTGAAGACTAAGTAAACTTTACTAGAAATATACAAAGACGTGGAATTTACCTTAAATATACGTATAAGGAAGAATATGCAAATATGTTTATTTGTGGGGTTTGGGGGATATGTGGGGTTAGAGAGAGAGAGAGATGAACTCTTAATAATATTCAATTCCACATAACTCCCAAACTTTTTAGCTCAATTCAACAAACATTTTTTTGTTTACCCTGTACAGGCAAGTCCCTAGGTTACAAACTTCTGATTTACATACAACGTATAGTTGCATGCCAACTCCGCCCCCCTCCGACCCACATAAACCCTAAAAATCAAGTTAAGTGAGAAGATACAGAACTTTGATAAGGGTTGTCAGATTAGGCTGCAATCTACATTGTGGTGGATTGCAAACCCTTAGCCTCTCACTCCCTGCCTGCATGCCCTCATGACCACCCCACAAGCTGCTCAGATCTGACAACTTTCAATAAAGAGCTTTGTCTGTCTAAGCACCTGGGGAGAATGAAGGCCTTCTCTCAGCTCCATCTTAAAACTGCAGTAAGATCATCAAATGACCAGCTCCTTTGCACATATTAAATTAGAAAGACTGTACGATAATCCATGCTAAAAAGGTAGAAACAAATAAGGTCTCCCTTATACTTTTATTGAAAGTATAAATTGGTATAGACGTTCTCAAAAACAACTCAGCTACATGGATCAAGGGTTTCAAAACAGTTCATATGGTAACTTAGTCTAACACATCATTGTAAAAATCTATCCTAAGGTACAAATAAATACAGACAAAAATCTGTGCCTACAGCTTTTAGTGTAGCTGTATTTAAGGAATTTTTTTAAATAGCTATAACCTAAATATTTATTCAGAGGGATTGATTAAATAAATGCCACCGTATCCTTAAGAATCATTTCATTAACCTAGGAGAATGCTCAGCATATAAAACTGACAGGGACTCACTTAAAGAGATTGCAAAAGTTCCTCTGGAAAAGAAAGAGTTCCCAGATAAGCAAAACACTACAAAGAAAAACAAAGTAGGAAGCCTCACCCTCATTGATCTCAAAACCTACTACTCAGCCACAGTATTCAAAACAGCTGGTATTGTTACAATGACGGACACAGAATAATGGAACAAAAATGAGAACCCAGAAGTAACCCCATCTACCAATGGATCTTTGACCAAGAGCCGAAACTCATTCAATGGGGTGTGTTAGTCCAGGTTGACTAGAGAAACAAATCAAGAGACACTCTTATGTCTCTTGAAATAAAAGCCAAGACATGAATAAATGTATGCATACTCATGTTCATCAAAGCACTATTCACAACAGCAAACAACCTAACTGCCTGTGCCAATGGCTGGATAAAGAAAGTGCGGCACATACATGTAACAAAATACTCGACAACGTTAAGGAATCCAGTGAAACACCTCATAACATGGTTGAACATGGAGAACATTCTGCTGAGTAAAATAAGCCAATCACAAAAGGACAGATATTGCATGAGACTATGATTATTAAAAGTCAAGAAAAGGTTTTCACACAACAAAGGAAGTACACTTTGATGGCTACAACAGGTTGGGGGGAGGGAAAGTAAATCATTAACCAGAGGGTAGAGACATCTTAACTTGGGTGAAGATGAAGAGGCATTAGGGTTTTTTTTAACCAAGTGGGACTTAAGACACAAATTGCATATGTACCAAGAGCCTATTTAATGTAAACATTCATAAAAAGAGCAGTAGGATAGAACTGGCGCATTCTGTATTGAAGAAATTCAGAGAGAATATATAACTTGAACACATGCATCGTCAATAGGGCAGCATCACCACCATGCAGCGAAAGTTGTTTTTTGTGGGGACAGATAAAAAACTTAGACATTAGAATCGCTTATGGCATTCTAAAGGATCACAGTGCATGAAAATGTTGTAGGATATCTATTGTATCAATGCTTCCACAGCAAGGGAAAGTAGATGCGAGCACTTAGGAAAAACAAATCTAAATAGTCACCTTGTGAAGGACAATGAATTTCCTTAAGTTTGAAAAATAAAATAAATCCACTCTTCTGTATTTTAAATACCTAGGGGCGGAGACCATAAAAAACAAAACTGCAAAATATCAGCAGAGATTCCAGGCTGTGGTATTATGGGTACCCATTGGTCTCGTTTCATTCATCGGTGCCATGAGAATGCATCCATCATAAGGAAGAACCAAGAGACCATTCTCAAAGGGGAATGTACTGAATGTAAGCATCAAGAGATAAGTCCATGAATGGATCACGTATTGGCGGTTCTCTGTGTTGTAGGGCTATTACTTTCACACTGAAAACCCCTTCAAGGACTGGCCTGGCGCATTTGAAGAAGGCTTAAAAAGGCTGAAGGAAGGCGACCTGCCAGTCACCATCTTGTTCATGGAGGCAGCGATTCTTCAGGACCCTGGAGACGCTGAGGTGCCCTCCCCTTTATTGTGTGGGCTCAGGAGTGGCTGCATGTGCTGGTGGGGGCGGGGGTGTCTCAGATGCACAAAGGATGATACAGAGCTCAGCTGTGGGGTGGAGAGGGAGGGGCGAGGGGGAAGAAACACAATGATAACCTTGAGCACTTTCTCAAGTAGAAATTCCCAAAGAGATTTACCTGGTGTAGGATGGTTTTTGTTTGAAAGTCACAAATAGGTCTTTATTTTCCAACCAAACCTGAGGGTGCCCAAAAACTGAAGGTAGGGACAAAAGGGAGACCATGTCATTCGCCAAACTGGAAGCTCCTCGGTGGTGTTCAGGTGGCCATCTCCTGTCTTGTCCGGGGCTGCAGCCACACCATGCAACACTCTTGATTTGCTCACTTGACATTTATTGAGCACAAACTAGGTCCCAAGAGTGCCAACCACTGGCTTACAAAGTGGAAGGGCTGGCAAAATGAAAAAATGGCAAAGACCCGTGTGTTGGTCTCTCTGGGAAGCCAAGTGAATCCATCGTTGCAGGGGTGTGGGAAGTGCTATGTCAGAGCCGTACTGGATGGCTTGCCCTAGAAGAGATTCCAGTGCTGAGCTTTGAAAAATGAGAGCAGGTGGGAAGATAAACCACAGAAAAAGCCGCTTTTGTTTGTTCTTGGGGGGTGGAAGTCTCATGGGACTCGAGTTGTTCTTAGAAAGGAATGGGAGGCAGAGAGATGTACAGTCCAGGGGAGAAGAGAAAGGAGGAAACAGGAGAGGAGGCAAGAGTTTGAATGGCATCCTGTAGGAACTGCTAGAGGACTCTATTCAGCGATAGACATGATCAAATTTGCATGTTGGTACCCAGGAGGCTCCTTGGGACACTACTTAGTGGAAACCTAGTTCCACCATCATGAGATTGAAACCCACTGCCTTTGAGGGGAGTCCAATTCATAGAGTAGAACTTCTCCTTTGGGTTTCTGGGACTTTACAGGAGACAGCCTCACCTTTCTCCCTTGGAGAGGCTGGTAGAGTCAAACAGCTGACCTTGAAGTTATCAGCCCGCCCCCCCCTCCCCAATAAGATCCAAACCTCCAAATTCACTGCCATTGAGTCAGTTCTGACTTATAATGACACGATAGGACAGGGTAGAACTGCTCCTGTGAGTTTCCAAGACTGTAACTCTTTATGGGAGTAGAAAGCCCTGGCTTTCTCCTGCAGAGCAGCTGGTGGTTTTGAACTGCTGACCTTGCGGTTATAGGGACCATCTTATAAAGGATGTTTCCAAAGGAATTTGAGAAGGCAAATAAAATAGTGGTTAAGCGTCTTAGAGTCTAGACTCTGCTGTCCCCTGTGGGTTCAAATTCTTCCTCTACCCGTTGGTTGAGTTTGTGGCTTCTGTGTTATTCAAACCATCTAAGCTTCCCTTTCGTCATCCATTAAATGGAGGTTGTGATAATAGTAACTATCTCATGGGCATCCTGAGGGCTAAATTAGGTCAGAGAAATAATGTGCTCAGCTCATTGGGTGGTACTGGGGACCAAAGATCCTGAAGGTATGAACCTTCATTATGATTGTTGGTAAGGCGTCCAGGTGGCATAGTGGTTATGCTTTGGGCTGTGAAACACCAGCCACTGTTCGGGAGAAAGATGGGGCTTTCTGCTCTCATAGAGTTACAGTCTTGGACACCCACAAGGACATTCTACTCTGCCCTCTAGGGTCACTGTGAGTCAGCATAGAAGAGATAGCAGTGAATTGGGAGGTGGGGAGTATCATTGTTGGTTGGAGCTCTTGCAACTAAAGGATCAGGGAAGAACCCAGGTCTGCGTCCGCCAGGAGCCCACCAATGTCACGGATGCCCGGGAGGGTGAAAATGACACTGTAGCCCGAGGATGCCCGGGAGGGTGAAAATGACACTGTAGCCCGAGGCTGGAATAGCTCCCTCCCGAGAGGAAAGACAGTGGGGTCAATCTTTTCTAAAGATTCACTCTAAAAGGTAGGGAAGTCGGATGAGAGTCTACTCTGTCTACAATTTTTTTCATTCTTATTTTATTTTATTATTTTAATAAATCACTTTACTCGGGCCTCTTGTACAACTGAACAATTAGAAAGAATCACTAATATTCTGGGATGGATAATCAGTATTTTATGAGTTCACATAGCATATGTTATAATAACCCCTGAGTGGGGAAGCCAAGACAATCCAATAACTGCTTTAAGTGACTATATTTTTTTCCTATATTTTTGTTTTAAAACCTCTACAGCAGTAGTTCTCAACCTTCCTAATGCCGTGACCCTTTAATGCAGTTCCTCATGTCGTGGTGACACCCCCCCAACCATAAAATTATTTTCATTGCTACTTCATAACTGTAATTTTGCTACTGTTATGAATCAGGCCATCCCTGTGAAAGGCTTGTTCAACCCACAAAGGAGTCGCAACCCCCAGGTTGAGAACCACTGCACAACAGCCTTGAATCTCGAGAGTGGACAAGTTATACACTTCTCATATCTTTTTGAAACATTTTAAAATTCCCTAAAATCCTAATATACCTCAAATCCTCTGCAAATGTAAGAACAGTTATGTGTAACATGCAATTTTGCTAATTGTATCCCTCTTGTGAATATGTGATAATTTGTGTTCTTATAAGTAACTAAGTAGAAATTTACTGTATTAAAAAATACTTTTCATTCTAAATGTGAAGGAAGTTATCTGCTTGAAGATATTCATCGCATTATTTGCAATAGCAAAGGATTAAAAGCAGTCTTGGAACAGTGGAGAATTGGTTGAATTAAAAAATGGGATTTATATTTAAAAGAATTAAAACTAAGTGCACCGACGATTTTATAAAAACAGAAAAGTGCTTCTGATACGGTTTAGCACAGAGACCATAAAATTGTGTCAGACCCCTGGTACCACCGCAGGGTAAGCATCAGGCTGCTCAGGTCGTTGTTCAAACCCTCCCGTCTCTTGGCGGGAGAAAGGCGAGGCAGTCGATTCCCACAGAGATTGACAGGCTTGGAAACTTTAAGGAATAATTCTGCTCTGCCCTGCAAGGCCGCTAAGAGTTGGAATTGACCAGATGGCAGTAGGTATGAAGTTACACAAACATTATGATTGCATTTCTATATGTTTTAACCATCTTAACCGTCATTCTTTTACAGTAATGAAGACTATCTGAGATTTGTTTTGTTTTGTTTTCCCTGATTTTTTAATTTCCTGTAACTTTTCTCATAAACCTTTGACTTTTTGTTTATACATTTCATTTCCTTTTGTTCATGGTGGGATTCTGTATGGGTGGCTGTAGGCTCGTAGGGTACATTTATGGGTTCTTTTTCAACCCTCTTTCCTCATAAGTGAATAATTTCATGTTTTGTCACCTGGTTCTAAGAGAGCCAATATTACCAACTCTCAGAAACTCAAATGTTCCCAGAGCCCTGGGTCACAGGAGAGAAACAGTGCTGTGAAACTTTGGAAATGAAGCCAGGAGAATTTGACCCAGAAGGTCCCAGGGAGCTTGAAGCCAGGAAGGCCTGGGCTGCTTCTACCCCCTTTCACATGGCTCTCGCCTTTGAGATCACCCTGAGCTACCCCGGGGCAACAAGCTTCTGCAAACACAGACGCATGTTGCTGCCTCCTGCATCACTGACAGGCATCGCTGGTTTTTTTTTGCAGGCATGGCAGTTCCTTGGGATAACCCAGGCAGAGAACGAAAATGAACAAGCAGCTATTGTCGCCCTCCAGAGGTAGATGCAGCTAAGTGCATTATTATTATTATTATTCAATCATTTTATTAGGAGCTCTTACAGCTCTTAGCACAATCCATCCATCCATTATGTCAAGCACATTTGTACATATATTGCCATAAGTTTTGAAATATTTTCTTTCTCCTTGAGCCCTTGGTATCAGCTCCTCATTTTTTACCTCCCTCCTTCATGAACCCTTGATCATTTATAAATGATTATTTTCATATTTTATACCGACCGCTGCTCTTTTATTTTTTTTAAATCATTCTATTGGGGGCTCATACAACTCTTATCACAATCCGTATATACATCCATTGTGTCAAGCACATTTGTACATTTGTTGCCATCATCATTCTCAAAACATGTGCTTTCTACTTGATCCCTTGGTATCAGCTCCTCATTCTTCCCCTTCCTCCCCCACCCTCCTTCACGAACCCTTGATAATTTATAAATTATTTTTTCATGTCTAATATTGTCCGTTGTCTCCCTTCACCCACTTCTCTGTTGTACATCCCCCAGGGAGGGGTTATATGTAGATCTTTGTGATTGGTCCCCTTTCTCCCCCACCTTACCCTTATTCTCCTGATATCGCTACTTTCCTTATTGGTCTTGAGGGGTTTATCTGTCCTGGATTCCCTGTGTTTCCAGCTCTGATCTGTACCAGTGTAAGTGCTCTGCCCTGGTCTAGCCATATTTGTAAGGTAGAATTGGGGTCATTATAGTGGGGGAGGAAGCATTAAAGAACTAGAGGAAAGTTGTATGTTTCATCCATGCTATACTGCACCCTGAATGGCTCATCTCCCTCCCCGCAACCCTTCTGTAAGGGGATGTCCAGTTGCCTGCAGATGGGCTTGGGGTCTCCACTCCACACTCCCCCTCATTCACAATGATATGATTTTTTGTTCTTGTGGGCTTGGTAGGCATTTGTTATTGGACTTGTGTTTCTGACTTGCCTTTTGACTTTTATTTCTGTGCACTACCGAGAATTTGGCCTGTGAAAGTGCTGATGCCAAGTCTCACTTACATGTAGTTGTGGAAAACAGAAAATGATGGGGGAAAAAGTTTCCCTAAATCACATTTTCCTCTACAAATCAACTGATGCTCACTGGCAACAAAGAACGTGTGTGTCAAAAGTAGTCATAAAATAAACGTGTTGAGTAAATACTTTCTTTATAACACTTTCGCCTCAGCTGTGCTTGCTGTTAGGTGCCATTGAGCCAGTTCTGACTCATCGGGACGGTGTGTGCAACCAAACAAAACACTGCCTAGGCCAGCACCATCTTCATAATGTTCTTGAGTGTGAGCCCATGGTTGCAGCCACTGTGTCGATCTATTTCTGTGGTTCCCAACCTGTGGGTCGCAACCCCTTTGGGGGTCGAATGACCCTTTCATGGGGGTCGCCTAAGACCATCGGAAAACACGTATTTCCGATAGTCTTAGGAAGCGAGACACCGCTCCTCTATCTGTCTCCAGGCAGGTCCGCCCACATGCAGATACGCCCACACACGAGTACCCGGTGTGAAGACTGTTACCCATGCTACACCATGCTTCAAGACAACATTTCATTTATTTGTCCTTAGAAATAAGTATTTCACAATATGTAATTACATGTTGTTTTGTGATTAATCACTGTGCTTTAACTATGTTCCATTTGTAACGATGAAAATATATCCTGCACAGCAGATATTTACATGATGATTTATAACAGTAGTGAAATGACAGTGATGAAGTAGCAACAAAAATCATGTTATGGTTGGGGGTCACCGCAATATGAGGAGCTGTATGAAAGGGTCGTGGTGTCAGGAAGGTGGAGAACCGCTGCTCTGTCTCTTTGAGGGTCTTCCTCTTTTTCACTCACCTTCTGCTTTACCAAGCATGTGGTCCTTCGCCAAGGACTGGTGCCTCGTGACAACATGTCCAAAGTTTGTGAGACAGATTGGAAGTTGGCTCTTTTGGTAGCCCCTGGTACTTGTGATCTGCTTGGCCAACAATCATAATTCAGATGCATCCATTTATTTCTGGTCTTATTTATTCAAATGCCCTACTTTCACTTGCGCATGAGGCCATTGAAAATACTCTGGCTTGTGGGGGACAGACAACCGAAAAGTGGGGAGACGTCGGACAAGGCAAGATATGACAAAATACCAATTTATAAGCTATCAAGGGCTCATGAGGGAGGGGGGAGCGGGGAGGGAGGGGAAAAATGAGGACCTAATGTCGGGGGTTTAAGTGGAGAGAAAATGTTTTGAGAATGATGTACAAATGCGATGTACAAATGCGCTTTACACAATTGATGTGTGTATGGATTGCGATAACAGTTGTATTAGCCCCTAATAAAATGTTAAAAAAAAAAAAAAGAAAATACTCTGGCTTGAATCAAGCATATCTTAGTCCTCAAAGTGATCTACATGCTTCTCAACACTTTAGAGAGGTCTTGAGCCGCAGATTTACTCAGTGCAATGTGTCTTTGGATCCCTTGACTGCTGCTTCGATGAGCACTGATTGTGGATCCAAGCAAGATGAAATCCATGACAAGTTCAAATGTTTCTTCAAATATCATGATGGCACCTTTTGATCCAATGGAGAGGATTTGGGTTTTCTTTGCATTGAGTTGTAATCCATACGGAGGGCTCCAATCCTCCAATCCAATCTACATCTGCTTCAAGTCCTCCTCACTTTCAGCAAGCAAGGCAGTGCCATCTGAATGTTGCAGGTTGATAATAAGCCTTCCTCCAACCCTGATGCCACATTCTTCTTCATACAATCCAGCTGCTCTAATTATTTGCTCAGCAGCATCCAAAAATGCAAAAGCAAAATAATTGCATTATACTTTCCATCCTTCTTGTGTCTACGTAGAGTTTCCTGAGAGGGTTTCATGCAACCTTGAAAGTAAAGCTCTTGGGCCCTGACCGATGGTTGTAAACAATTTTTCCTTTCTTGGGAGATGGGAGACAGGGGCGGCTAGTGCCAAACCCTCCTTGACTAGAGATCCTAAGAAAACACTGGAAAAGATAGACCTTGCCAATTACACTTCTACTTCCCCTGCCCATGGTTGCAAATGCTTATAATATAATGCTTTAAGGAGAGAGAGTGGGTGTGTGTATGGGTGTGTTAAATCCCATATATCTTGTATCTGTGAGTCTTAGAATCTTAAATTCTAAAAATTCTAGATCCTTGGAATTTTAAGCCTTGGCGATTCTGGAATCCTGCATCTCAAATCTCTCTTAGTATCTGACAGCATAATGGGACCTGGGTGTTTACCATTTCCCATGAGTGAGAGCCTTAGGGATTAGGGAAAATTTGAGTCACACCACACAGCTAGTGTGTAACAGAGATAAAGTTTAACCTAACATCTCTGAACTCCCAATCTGGAACTGTGAATATGTATATGTACACAGACACACACACACACACACACACACACACACACACACTGATTTAATAGGTTAGGGTAAGGTTTAAGGCTCAATATATTTTTTAAATCCCCCAAGTATTTCTAAAATGGACCTAGGGTTGAGAGCTTCCCTGCTAGAGGGCAAGAGGTTCCTGGAACTCTGGGAGACCCCAGGGAATATATTTAGAACTGTCTCAAGCTCCATTGCCATCAATGTCATCATCACCTGGCAGTTTGTTAAGACCTGTGCAGCCTTCAGCCACACCCCATCTGCAGATGATTCCAAGTATGTCAAGGTTTGAAGGGCCCTGGCTAGCGCCCCCAAGGAACAGCATAAGGAGCAGCAGTAGCTTGTGCCCCCTGGAAACTCACAAGGTGTCTAGAAACATGAGTGTTGCCCCTCCTTTACAAAATGGTTCTCTGTATGATCTTTCCTCTCCAAAGATCTGAGTTTAGTTCAAGTCAGGCTGGTTCAGGACTGGCAATCATTTATCATAGCAGTCATAGAGCAGAATTAAAATTTCCCTTCATCCTCATGCAAGGAGCCTTGATGGCTTGGGCTGTGAGCCACAAGGTCAGTAGTTCAAACCTACCTGTGGCTCTGCAAGAGAAAGAAGAGGCTGTAAAGAGTTGCAGCTCCAGAAGCCCACTGGGGCCATTCTACTCAGTCCGATCGGGTCACTATGAGGTGGAATCAATTCAATGGCAATGAGTTTGTGGTTTTTGAACCCTCCTATGGATTAGATGAGAAATGCTGTGTGCCACAATGAGCTGTATTTCTTGGAACTTAGTTCTTAAGCTATGAATTAAAATAGCCTGAGGTGCTAGTCATCAAAATGAGTTTTAACTATTCTAAAAATATGCTTAGCTCCCAATTTTCCAGCAGATAGACATGGTGTTTTCCAGGGATGTGATATAAATGCCTTGGCACCATTCATTAACAAAGACTTCGCATTTTCTAAAGAACACTTGGACTCTGGCTCTAAAAAAAAAAATCTGAAACTGCCTTTGTTTGTTTTGTTTTTGCCTCCTTGCAGGTGCTTAGAATTGCAACCCAATAATTTGAAAGCTTTGATGGCATTGGCCGTGAGTTACACAAACACCGGCCATCAGCAGGATGCCTGCGAGGCGCTCAAGAACTGGATTAAGCAAAATCCAAAGTACAAATATCTCGTGAAGAGCAGGAAGGGGTCTCCAGGCCTCAGCCGGCGGATGTCCAAGTCCCCCGTTGACAGGTAGCCTTCTTCGTGTATGAGAACCGATAGTAGATACTCAATTTAGCTCCGTCATGATAATTTATGAGCCGGAGACTCCACCACCACCACCCCACTTCCAAATGATTTATAGGCCATCGTGCTGTTCTAAGAGTCATCCGTTGCACAGGCTACACTCACACCAATGAAAAAGATGGATCCCTGGGAGCACAACCAGCCTTTCACCACGTGACCTCCATGTGGACATTCACAGACATTTGTCTGGGCACCCTATTTGAAAGCCAAATGTTTGGGGCCTATAATCCACCTAAAGTGAATTATGATGAGGACCAAGGCTCTAAGTTGCATAAAGCCCTACAATGTGGTAATGGAGTGGGGAGAGGGGAAATGCACGCTCTGTTGTCTCAGTATTTTGTTTCTATCAGCAATAAATCATGATGCCAGGTCAATTTCCATCCTGGCCTTGCTGGGGACACTTAGAATTATATCTTCCAGAATTATATCTGGAAGCCGCCCACCAAAATGGAGATTTGATCGACCCAGACCTACAGACAGGCCTGGGAGTACTCTTCCACCTGAGCGGAGAGTTCAATGGAGATTTATATGTTGGAGATATATATGGGTCAGTGGAACTCATTTGTGAAGACCGTATTGCCCCTGTATCTCTGCAGGAGCCCTAGTGGCGCAGTGGATAACACTGTGGATTGCTCTCCATAAGGTCAGCAGTTTGAAACCACCAGTCACTAAGCAGAAGGGTGAGATTCTGTACTCCCATAAAGAGTTACAGTCACAGAAACCCATAGGGGAAGTTCTGCGCTGTCCTACAGGGTCACCAGGAGTCAGAGTCAACTCAACGGCAGTGAGGTTGTTGGGGGGAGGGGGGGAGTATTGTTTTTTGTTTGTATGGGAAAATCAATGAGTGTCTTCAACATTCAATATTGAATGTCTTATTGGACTGTGATCTTTTCCCCAAGCTCTTGCTAGTCTATAACAAAGAGAAGCTCCTTGCAATAGAGAACCTAGTAGTAACTAATTTCTGCTCAGACCATTTGGATTACAAATCAAATGTGGCCCCTTGCAGCTCTGTTCTGGAAGGAGTGAAGGAATTGTACCTGGAAGCCGCCCACCAAAATGGAGATTTGATCGACCCAGACCTACAGACAGGCCTGGGAGTACTCTTCCACCTGAGCGGAGAGTTCAACAGGGCAATTGATGCCTTTAACGCTGCCTTAACTGTTCGGCCAGAGGTAAGAGCAGGCACAACCAGAAACCATAAAGTTGTGTATTCATACTGTCTCATAGGCTACACTCATTATTTGTCTACTGCACTTTCCCAATCTCCCTGTCTCTGTTTAAAGTGATCCGTATTGCTGACATGTCCCTCTGGCTATTAATATTTCAATACCTAAACTCTACGCATGAATATCATGACAGCATCAGAGGGTGGCTGCTATCTGTTGAATGATGGTCAATTCCCGAAGTTGCCCGTGAAGATGTGTAAGGCATGCATCCGGGGACCGGTTCCTCTGTCATCTTCCAGCCACTGCAGGCGCACAGGAGGGCAAGCTGTCGCTGCGTGCTGCACTCCTTGTTAGAACTCTGTTTCTGTCACCAGGACTATTCATTATGGAACCGTCTTGGGGCGACCTTGGCGAATGGAGACCGCAGCGAGGAAGCCGTGGAGGCCTACACTCGGGCGCTGGAGATTCAGCCAGGCTTCATTCGGTCCAGATACAACTTGGGAATAAGCTGCATCAATCTGGGTGCCTACAGGTGAAGTATGGGAGCTGACTGAGAGCAGAGAGCCAGGCTCCAGGCTGAGGCTGACTAGCCTGCAGTAAGGCTGCCTCCCTTTGGAGGAGCCCTGCTCCTTGAATGAGTCACAGTTCTCCAGAGACGCAAAGATTTGGGGTGGGAAGGCCTGGCTCTGCATGTCTGCCTATGCATGTGTGTCTATGCATGTGTGGTGGTGTTGGTGGTGGTGGTGGTGGTGTGTGTGTGTGTGTGTGTGTGAGAGAGAGAGAGAGAGAACAAACACACAAAGACATTAAGATTACTTTTAAGGAATTGGCTGACAAGATTGTGGAGCCTGACCAAACCAAATAATCCAGGCAACTACAGCAGTCTGTGACTGAAATCATTTAGGCCGCGGGCCAGAAACTGCCACCGGATAGCTATGCTGCCTTCCTAAGGCAGAGTCTGTCTCTCCCTCAGGAAACCTCTGTGCTCAGCTTTAAGATTTTTCAACTGATTGGATAAGGCCCACCCACATTGTGGAAGGTTATCTGCTTCAAAGTCAACTGATGTACCTGTTAATCACAGGCAAATACCTCCCCAGCAACATCTAGACGAGTATTTGCCCAAATAAGCGGACACCGTAGTTGACCCATACAACTAACTAATCACCGCACATTTTCTTCTGTTCATTTAAATGTAGAACCTTCTGTTTCTGAGGTTTCTTAAAGCAACAATGCTGTGTTCCAGTGGTTATCAAGCTTTAGACAGAAGCATTTTATGGGGGGGGGGGGGTCTTGTTAAAATGTAGATTCCCAGATCTTCCCTCCAAAGCTTTGGCTCACATAGGTTGTCTGAGCTTTAACCCCTCCAGGGTCACCAGTTGGAGAAGCCGCCGTCCCCAGTTAAGGACAAAGGAACCCAGAGAGGGAAGGACGACAAAAGGATGTGTGTCAGAGGTCCCAGAACCAGCCGTTGACAAAGCAGAAGTTAGAATTCAGGTTTCCTAAACCTACCCTGGCCTCGAGGACCGCAATAAGGCAGAGTCAACTCACTGGCAGTGAGTCAAGCCGAATTTGGTTATCAAAAGAGAAAATCCAAAGAGGGAGCGAGAGAAAGAGGGGGGGAAAGAGGATGGGATTATGGTTTGACAAGCCTTTCTTGTCTTCTCATTCAGCTCCACGTCCCTTCCATACTTTCTCCAGTACTTGGAGCCATACGTGACATTTCTTCGGGGTATTGAAAACATGGGTGATTTTTCCCCTGATTTTCTAAATAAACCTCTATTTCTTTCATAGAAGGATTCTTTCAGAACTCCGTATTCTATTTAAAGCCCCACAAAAACGTATGAACTCTCATTCTCAAAAGAGCCAGACTTTTAAGAGTCACACGAGCTTGAGTTCAGAGCGTAGCTCATCCGTGTACCGGCTAGTCGTATGTTTCTGAGCACATGACTCCTGGGCTTTCATTCCTGCACCTGGAAAGAAGTGAAAAGAGGTGCTGAGCCCTTCCTTGGGGGCCTCGGGGCAGGTGAAATGTGGTTGCGACCTCAGAGCAGACGCTCAATCCCAGAAGCATTTTGTGACGATGATTAGTGTCGCCCTCATCCTTCGTGTTCTTATTTAGATATATCATCAACATCGGATTGCATTCCTCCCACCCCTGGAATGGTGCTGTTTGTAACAACACGAGGCCAATATTGCCGTCTCCGCCACTAGTGAGTTGGGGCAGCTGAACCGGAGGTTCTTTTAGGGAATATTAGCCAGTGGACGCCGCCGTCTTCTCCCTCAGAGGATCTTTCTTAGATCAGAACCCAGAGCAGCGGAGTCTCTTCAGCCCTGGCTTGTCCTTATCTTCTGTGCTTTGCTCGACCCTTCTTCACATCTGCTGTGTGCATGCACACCGCCATCCAAGCTCTGCCGCCTCCCGTGTCTCAGCGAAGGCAGGCTGACTGGTGCCCACTGTGTCACCAACCTCCTTCCTGGGGACAGCAGATTGCCCTGCCCTGGTATCGGCTTCATTCCTTTTCGTCGCTTATTTCCCAGCATGTGGTGTATTTTATAAGCTATTTATCTCTTTTTTTTGAATAGAGGAAGATACAAATTAATACATACATATATCTAGACATTTTGAAGTCAACTTAAAAAAACTCACTGCCATCAAGTCACTCCCAACTCATAGCAGTCCCAAAGGACGGGGTAGACCTGCCCCACGGGTTCCCGAGACTGTAACTCTTTACAGGAAGAGAGCCGCTGAGCAGCTGGTGGTTTGCAAAGAGCCGACCTTGTGGTTAGCCACTCACTGTGTCACCACTACGCCAGCTTCTAGATACGTCTTTCTTAGTTATAACTTCTCAATATGGAAAACAATATCTGCAATGCCAATCAAATACTTACTCGCCACACTCAGATGTATCATTCAGCCGGGCCACTATTTTCAGAAGACCAGAAAAGTCTATGGCATGGAGAAATAGATGGCCTTTCTGAGTCCTGAATTTTAAATTCTCCTGCGGAAAATTTCCTGAAGCTGTAGGATAGTCAGATAAAATATGGGATGCCCAGTTAAGTTTGAATCTCAGATAAACAACAGATAAGTTCGGGGTATGAGCACACCCTAAAGATTGCAGGAGACACACATATCCTGAAAATTATTCTTTGGTATCTAAAATTTCAATTTCAGTAGGTGGCCGGGTTTTCATTTGCTAAATCTGACATCCCAGTCAACTAGCTCCTAGTCTTGGGTTGTCGTGTCAGATGTTAGAAAGGTTGAGAGCTGATGAGCATTTTGTGGGTTTTCCCATGTGAACAGAAAGCCACCACCAAATGAGGCAATAAAACTTAAACAAATCCTGAAAAGAAGTGGGTGCTTTGGAAATAACCACCCTCAATAGAGATGTGGCTCGGAGAAAAAGTCAGGAGCTGGGAAAAATGTTTCCAGATCCACAAAAATCAGGCCTCTCCCTCAATCGCTGCAGGTATCTGTGTGTGTAGCCATCACGCTTCGACTGTTTCCGCTCAATGATGAGTCAAAGACGGGCCTACCCGGGTACTGAGTCCAGTTGCAATCACAAGAGAACAGGTTTGGTATCAAACCTGGGTGCTGGTCAACGCATTACTCTTGGCACTGAGAACTCCAAAGTAGAATTTAGGCCGATTGATCTTTTCCTTTGCAAATTCCAGAGGCCGACCCTCATCCCCTTGGGTGGTAGTAGACAAAGCTTTTAAATGAAGGCATTTTGGGGGGTAAATCATGACAATATACAACACAATTTCAAGCTATCCATACCTATTTGTGCAAACCATGTGAAGACTATTCACACATACTCCTTTACCATCTTCCGAATTCCGCACACACACACACCCTGCCGTGCCCCCCACCCAAAGGACTCGTAGTCCACAAGTTCAGGAACAGATTTAAAAGAACTTCATGAAAAATCCTAGAGCGTGTGTGTTGAGATCACCAAGGGGAACCAGACTCTTCTGTTATCTACAGCTCTCTAGAGATGCCTGCCAGACACTCTCGGGAGAAAGACGAGGCTTTCTACTCCCGTAAAGCGTTAGTCTTGGAAACCCACAGCAGTTCTACCCTGTCCTATTGCGTCGCTATGAGTTGGCATACACTTGATGGCAGTGGGTGGACTGATGAGTCGGGCACTCTTGGGCTGGGAGCTCTTCCTTCCCAAAGCCATCACCCTTTGAAGAAGGATCCAGAAAGAGCATCCAAAGCAAACTCCTTGTCTGCGTCTTTCTGTCTCTCTAGCTTGACTATAAGCAACCCAGAAGAGTAGGTGGTTGGAACTCCCCCTTCATTCTACTGATCAGGTCCCTCCAACCGCTTCCCAACTGCCTCCCATGGACAGGTAGATCTAACCATGGATAAATGCCTACTTTCGGAATCCAAAGGGCCTTTTTATGTGGGATAGCTATTGAGACTTACTGAAATTAAACAGAAAAAAATATTAAGTTATTCTCTTTTTAAAAAATAACAAACTCATGTATTAATATAAGCAACTTGTTTTAATGAAAATGATTATTCTCCCCACCCCCAAAAATGTAGATTAATGAGAAAGTGTCATTGCTCTATATTCTTCCAATTGTCTTTAATGGAAGGCAGGTTGTCATGTCTACTTCAATACATCACATACATCACACATCTTGTCGCCTCTGGAAAGCTCCACAGTACATGCATGAGAGAATGAAAGTGGAAGGTCAGGTAACATCTAGGTATGGTTATAAAATGAACTTTGACCTCCCTGATTGGGGGTGGGGTAGGGCCTTCAGACCACATGTTGAAAACTGCCAAGTAAGGTCAATGATAAGAGCTTTCATCTATGTGGATTCACCATGCTTTACAACTGGTTTTAAAGTGGCACCTCAAATAAATTCAGGGAAACAGAGCCTTGGGGAAGTGGAGCATCTGCCCTAGACTGACTCCATGGATGCAAACCCAGCGGTTTGGATAATAAACTGAACTCTCCCCGAGCTGCTTGACATAATTCCATCACCACGAAGGAAAGTTAGGCCACTTTGTTTCTGAAATAGAGCCAGAGTCTTCCTGGTAAAGCCTAGTTATAAAAATCACCAACAAAAGGCTGGAGTTTGGAGTGCATCCAGAGATGCCTCTTGAGTAAAGACGTGGCTATCTCCTTCCAAAAATGCCCGGTCTCTGAAAACCCACTGAAGTACTATGCTCCTTTGGCACAGTCAAGGTCCCGGAGAGTCAGTCTCCACTCAGTGACTAACTGGTTTGGTCTGGTTTCTCATAGAAAGCACATCCGCAAATGGTTGATGCCTTGCGACCTATTCCCGCAGCAGGAGAAAAATCACAGGCACTTACCGACTTTACAGTGGTTTTAATAGCACTGCCCCTTCCCTTCCTTCCTACAGGCTACTCCTAAGATACACAGAGGCTTTTTGTCTCTATCTGGTCCCACTATCTTTAACGATGAATTTCATACAAGAATAATGAGAGAATCCGAAAATTGTTCATCGGATTGTCCAAAGCACCACTTAGGGGAGTGGCTTAGGATTTTGACGAACAAACCCAATGCCAACAAGTAATTCTGCCCCAGGACAGCCCTGTACAAGCGAGCCGGTCTGCCCGCTGGAGTACAGAAGGCAGCACATCTTCCCCAGAGCCCTTATCACACTTTTCTCCCGAGGAGGGGCTGACGGGTTTGAACCACCAAAGGTGCCCTTTGCAGCCAAACACTGAACCACTGTGCCATCAGGGCTCCTAAAAACTAGCAATTCTTTTTTTTTTTTTCTTTCACAAAGTTTGCTACCTCCCCCATTAGTTGCATTTTAAACTGTTTGTCTTTCTACCCTTTAGAGAAGCGGTCAGCAATTTCCTCACTGCCCTCAGTTTGCAACGAAAGAGCCGAAATCAACAGCAAGTTCCTCATCCTGCGATTTCGGGGAACATCTGGGCGGCCCTCAGAATCGCGCTCTCGCTGATGGACCAGCCCGAGCTCTTTCAGGCAGCTAACCTTGGTGACCTGGATGTCCTCCTCAGAGCTTTCAACTTGGATCCTTGAAAGAGGAGAAGAGAAGGGGCCGGAGAAGCAGCAGCAGCCCTGCCTGTGTGCTTACTTGCCCTGAGAAATGCAAACTGGTTTTATTATGAATCTCAAAATAGAAATAGCAAATGCTCAAAAGGCCCTGGTCCTAGAACCCCAGGAAAATCCTACAGGCAGGGCCCAGTTTCTGTTCAGATGCAAAAGCACACACCGTTGTACATAGAGTTGAGATTGGGCCTGGAAGAATGGAAAGACGAGACGAACCAAGACACGGTGACTGTGTGTCAGGAGGGCTCTCTTCACAAATGGTGAGCACACTGCAAAGCAGGTCTTGGGGGGCGGGGGCAGTCTGTCCCCAGTTGCATCAAAGGAACCTGCTCACTGAGAAAGCAGTGCCTGGGACCCTGGAATCCTGACTGTGTCTGAACTGCCCTCCCGGGAGCGCCCTCTTTTACAAAATTGAACCTAGTTTGGGCCAATGGTGCATGCACATATATTAACTCTGGATTGCAGAGAGGCATTGCTTAAACCTGTTCCAATTTTAACCTCCACTGTAGCCCTTTGATTCCAGAGAGGGAGCTTTGCTGGCAAAAGCAATTCTTGCACTAGGAATTTTTGCTGTTCCCAGCGAAAACTTTTCTGGGACTGTATATCTGCACTTTACTCTCTCATTTATGCCTTGCTGGAGTTTTGTTTTGTTGCTCCAATTTTTAACTTGGGAGTGAGAGGTTTGAGAACTCTGCCTTGTTAGACCAACGGACCAAATAAAAACTTTCTGAAAGTAGTTTTTCCATAGTGTAGGGTTTTGAAGGCGTGTTTTTCTTAAAGCAGATAGGGCATAGGGTATAAATATGTCCAACACAGGACTGGTGCACACGCACCCTGAGACTGTGAACTTAAGCAAGGAGGTACTGTCTCTCCGTGTATTCTCTGCCGGAAGGAAGTTAGATGACATCCTGATTTCTCCTGGGGTCACGTTCCCTTGCTTAAGTGTCATATAATACTGGCTTTCTAACTGCCCTGCACACCAATAGTCTTTTAAACTGTTAATATTTGAAATGATATTTCTTAAGCGTGATGAATACACTTTTCCTAAAACTAATTTTCTTAGCTCCTCTAATGATCTGTGCTGCTCACCCTCTTTGCATTCTATGCGGTAAAAGACTGGTACTTTCTACCTAAAGGTGACTGGATGTCGGTGGTTGACTATGGCTGATGCATGCCCCTTTGGTTCTTATTTTGGATGCTGATCGACTACCAAGGATTTGCTGTTAGCAGTGGTATTGCATTTCATTGGTGACCTCCCACTTAGTTCTACAGAGTGGTGTGTGTGTGTGTGGGGTGTGTGTGTGTGTGTGTGTGTGTGTGTGTGTGTGTGTGTGTTAGAGCTGGGAAGTTATTTTGAAGGATAGCATTCTTTTTTACATAAATTAGAAAAATTCTTGCAAAATACTGACCCAGACATCATTTCACTCCTGATGAGTTCTAGGAAGTTGCCCCTGTTCTCCTTCGCTTGGTCTCCTCCCTTCCTCCAGACCCGTCCCCAAAGTAGTTTGTCACCGATTTTTCTTCCAGGTCTTGGGTAAGTAAAAGCCGGTTGAAGTCGGGATACGAATTGCCAAGCAAAATTTGGGGCCAAGTCAGTTCAAGTGACTGAAAATCAGCTTTTGCTTGGAGGGAAAGCACCCACGTACTGAGACCAGGAACTCTGGGTGTGGGTAGAACCCCTCTCCTCTGCGACACTTGGAGCCCTGGAGACTAGGAGATTGCTGGGGAGGTGTGTGTACGCGAGAGCACCTGTTCTGGTTTATAAAAATGAAGAGATGAGGGCACTGTGCTGCGTGCCATGTTTGGCCCTTCTTTGCCAATGTTCCCTTGGGCACAGGGACCACCTCAGGTGAGCATCAGGAGGCAGAGAAGTTTAAGGCACCACTGCCGGGCAATAAGGACACAACAGTTAAAATGCTCGGTGATGTAACTGAAAGGTCAGCAGTTCAGTTTCCATGAAAGAAAACACTTGGCGATCTGTTCCAGGAAATATGACAACTGAGAAAAACCTACGAGGCAGTTCTCCTCTGACACGGAGGCTCGCTGAGTTGGAATCAAGTTGACAGGACTCCTCCACAACCACCCAGTCTTGGCCGGCCTCTTTACTCTCTCAAAGTCAAGCCCAACACTATCTTCCAACGTGTGTTTTCTGTAGAATTTTCTGCATCCTTAGAAGCTGTGTAGGAAGGACCCGTGGGGGCCAATCTCCTACCAAGGGCATCTCCCTGCTTGGATTTTCCTGATGGCAAATCCTCCTCCCTTCACCCATTTCTTCTTCCTCCCTATCTCTGGAGTTCACTAGCTGATTCGGAGCCTGGAGACCCTCATAATCCCTTAGAAATCTTGGAAGAAAGAATTGAAAACAAACCTGGCAGGCTTTCTGTGTGTGGTACCATTCTACATTCCCTGAAGTAGCAGTTTTCAGAAATAATGGCAGGCTGTGTGCTTAGCCTCACTGGCACCATGAGACCAGTGAAAATGGAATGCCTGAGCAGGGTGTCAAGGTGGGGTGCTTTGGTTCAGTTTGATTGTGGTGGCAAATTTTTGTGGCCCGAGTTTTATTTTGCTGCCGAACACAAAGTAACTTCAAACTCGAAGGAGTTGTCTTCTGAAAAAAAAGACTCTTTTTTTTTTTTTTAATTCCCACCATGTATGTTTGCAGAACATTTGGTAGAACATTTTCCATTATATTTAGTGTCTCCGTCAGAAGCAAGATTTTCCTAAAACATCGTTGTCAGAAAGTCCGGAATCATTCATTGCCCAGGAGGAAAAGAGTAATACTTTTCAATGTTTTTTAAATAAAATTAAGTCGCAAGTTACTGAAAATTGAAGTAAAAAGCATACAGAAATAAGAGCGTCACCAGAAATGCAATAGCCCTCAAAAGAGTCTGCAATGCACACAGGGGTCTGTTTTGGTGGTTATCGTTTTTAAAACGTTTTTATTGTGCATCGGGTGAAGTTCGCAGAGAAGATCCCTTTTCCAGACAATGACTCAGACACATTTTGTTTCGTGTTCGTTGCAATCTCGATCCTGTAGTAGCACTTATCCCACTTCCTGCTCCTGTTTCCGTTTCTCCTTTCAGAAACTTTCTGAACTGTGTCATTCGGCAAAGACTGCCCTTTTGATCTCAAGTGGTTGATCCTAAGGTGTGCCCCCGCCCCCCCAGGGTTCTTGTTCCCCTTACAGGCCTTTCAGTTGGCTAAAAATTTCCAAACTTGAAGGATACCTAAGCGCCATAATCTTAGGGGTTCTACCAGCCTCTATCCAACCAGTAAACATGGACTTTTTTAAAAAATGATTTTGAGTGTTTCCACCTTTTGTCTCCCACTCTGTGCAGGATCTTCTAACGGGGCCCTTTTCAGAGCAGTTGGTCATTGTAGCTGGGTATCATCCATGGCTTCTGGTTTCAGGTTTGTGGAAAGTGATATTCGTGTTGTCCATTAGTCCACTGGACTAATTGTTTTCATGTCTCTTCCATTTTCTTCACTCAACTTTACTCCAGACCGGAAGAGACCCACAGCCGCGCCTTCAGCGGCTGCTCGTGAGCTTTTTAGCTCCCAGTCCCTACTAACCAATGTCAAACATTGTCTTTGTAGACTATGCCAGTTGACCCCAGTGTCCCCTAAGACAGTGTCCTGAGGCCCCAAGCCCAGCAATTCATTCCCGCAAGATGTTTGATTACTTCTGTTTCCATAACTTTGCCACCTCTGTGCTCCACCACATTCCTGGTATAGCTGTTAGTTTTCCCCTTAACATACAAATGGATTTTTCAGGCACAACTGCTTTTGGTAACCTATCCTCAGGGCTTGAAATGGTCTCCTGAACGACTCCTCCCATTTGAAAGGCTAAGATGTTCTCTCGGCTCCCTTATGAGACTTCATTGAGTTCCTTGTTTTCTTGTGTCCGAGATATCTGAGAGCCCTTAGATAATGGTATATCCCCGTAGAATGGCTGCTCAATAGCATGGGGCATTGAGGGACCTCACTGGTAGGTTGGACGACAGTTCAGAGGAAGCCAGGGATCACTGCTGAATTACAAAATGTGTCATAACGATTTCTGGTTGTATTCCTATGCGTTGCTGTGTCTCAGCAGTGAGAAGGAATAAGGGATCCCCTTATGGGGTTAATCATCTTGATTCCTCTTTCCTTTCACATTCTGCCAAGAGCACTCTCCGTGGCTCTGACAGAAGGCAGCTCTTTCCCACCACAAGACTTTAATAGAACACTCTGGGCTTTGCACTCTCATCTTAACTGGAATTCATCTAGGATGGTAAACTGTTGATGCATAACGGGGCAGGAGTGCCCAGGAAATGCTCGCTTTTTCAGTTTTATGGCACCTTCTTCATTCTCTTCTGTAAACGAACTCTTGTGCTGAATCATAGATCCAGGCTTACACCCTGGCACTAGATAAATATCCTCCTGGTCTGTTCTAGACAAGCAAGACTGGAACACCATTTTATCTAGTGCCAAGAGCTCCCAAACACATGGTTTTGCTATGGCCCTGCCTGTGGCCCCTGAATCCATTCGACAAGAGGAGACTGTACCTAGATGCGTTGTCATTGTCACTGTGGTTGTTGCTGCCGTCATCGTGATGATTCTGTTATCCCTTGACATGCTTCTAGAAGCACTTTAGAAACAGGGTATTCCGAAGGTGTCCCTTGTGTGCCATTGTGTTGAGGTCTCCGATTTTGGAAATTATTACCCATGTGCACACAAGAAGTCAACTTTGTAAAGTCATGTCACCGTCATTCCCAAACCTGATTTTACTTCCCAGACATCCTTGTCATCTCAGTATTTATAAAATTGGTTGGAAGTGAACTGTTTTGAACTAAGAAGTAGACACATATATATTTTTAAAGAGTGTCCATAGATGAACTCTGACATACGTCTGTAAAAAATAAGTTTTAAAAAGTAAAACATATAACCTCAGGTACAATGATATCGCATGCATTAGTACTTGCAAATCTGCCTACTCAAATATTAACCAAAGCATGCAATATAACTTTGCTGAATGTAAATGTATCCAGTGCATGATTAATCTCACCGGTTAGCTTTTTATTGCTCCTAGACAAGGAAGCAGTTACATGAACTGTGTGTTGCCATCCCTCCATTCTCTGTTAGCGTCCTATCCTTCAGTCTTTTCCTGTCATCACACTGAACTTTACAGATGTCGATGGTCAAACATCTGGCATGTGCAGTGTGCAGCCAGTGCCAAACGAATCCTGAGGGATTCAGATACTGAGACATCTGAAAGTTTTTCTAAAAACACACACACGAGACTTCTGAGGCACAAGAGATCCAAACGGGAACCAAGACCCATGTGTCTGTTTGTCCGAAACTAAATCACATGATCGCCTCTGCATATACATTTTGGGGTTCTAAATTCTGGACAGTCCATTTCCAATGTTTCCTAAAATTCTGGGAATAAATTGGAAGTACTGATAGGCTAAGTAAGGTAGAAAGATGGGGAGTAATGTCCAACTTATGAAAATCCTAACAAGACAAAGTGAACCTGAGGTCTTTAAACAGGTTTCTGTAGATGGCATGTAGCTAGTGTATGAAGGACGGGTGTGAGGAGTGCAGGCGTGTCCCAGCCCTGCTGGTGCTTGTGCGGCAGGCGGGCCCCTGGAGAAAGTGCACTAGGTGAACACACAAGAATTACGTCAGGGTGAAAAGGTGATTTCAAGTTGACTCAGAACCAACCCTCCTGAAGCCCTCGCACTGCCACTTTCTGTAGCTTCGGTGTTAGGTGGAAACACAGACAAAAGGGCTGGAACTAGTGACAGCAAAGCTAAGCCTGACAAGGGGGTCTCTCTCATGTGACCAACTCTGCCACCCCTTCCTACACTCTACAATCCACACACACACACACATAGCTGAGCTCAGACTGAATTCACTGAACACACAGCAAGACCTTTATGTGGGGACATGAGACAGTGACGAAAAAGGTAGAAAATGAAAATGGGAAGTTTAACAAACTCTCTTGTAGGATTTGCCTTGAATAAAGCTTCTACTAACCTACAAACTATGCAAACACACCCCAATAACCCCCTTTGAGAAAAAGAGCCCGCTCTGGGAACGTTTCCTCGGGACTTCCTTCTCTGCAGAAGAAAACGAGCGGGCAATGCGTGCCAGAGTTTCCATAAAACCTGATGGGTGCCGTGCGGCAATTTTAGAAAACTGCGTTCAAAATCTATTAAAAGGGAACAAAAGTATGGGGTGATTGTATGCTGAACAATAAAATGCATCGTGTTTGTGTCCCCCCCTACTTTTAATTTCCCGGAGAAGGATGCAACATCAAAGGAGTCGTGCATATCTACATTCAACTAGCTAATCTGGACTGTTCACTGAGACATACAGAAAGCTTTTGCAGGAATAATCAACGTGTTTAAAAAGCTTTTGCAACGATAAAAAAGTTGTACCATGTGAGAAATGTGTTCGTGATGCATTATGTTACCAGTGATAAGAGAACATAGAGCACATCTAAATTTTTAACAAACTTCCTGTCATTCCTGCCCCCTCGCCACCATGTCATCTAACCCAACACGTCCCCTCCCATTCTTCATTGATCAAATTTGTTTACATTGGTTGGAGGAAAAAAAAAAGGCAGACCCAATTAGTTTAGCAAACTTTTTACAACCTGTAACAGGCATTTATTTATTAACTCTTTAGAAAAGACATATTTCTATCTATTTTGTATATCTATGAATATTATAAATCTAAACAGAAAATCTTGTTTAGAAACAGTCTGTGATGCTTCCTCGTGCCCAATGTTCACATCTTAGGGGTTCATTTTCAAGCTGAAATAGACAACAACAAAAGAATTACTTTAAATGTTTACATTGCTTCTCCAAAATAATGCCAACCCAAATTAAGTGACCTGTAATAAATGAATGCCAACTGGTGGGGAGAGGGGGGAAGTAAAGGTTATTTGGCGTAGGTAGTGATACTGTATCTGTGTACTTAGTGAAATATTATGTATCGTCGCACAACTCTGTTGGGAATTAAAGCTTCAATTTATTATTCATTCCCTGCATTGCTTTTTTAAATAAAATTACTACCATTAAAAAATAACCACTTATCATACCAATGTGTTTACTCAGCTAGTTTATCATTTGCATATTACCAAGATTAAGGTAGTATTTTTGTACGATTAGTGGAAGCATGCCTTCCCTTTTTCACATTATTAAATTGTATTTATATTTGTGCGATTTTAAACTATGTTTTCAAATAAACTTTGTGGCTTCAGGGTCTCTTCAGGAATCTTTCAAAGTGAGGTTGGGGGAATCCGAATCGCTTTGAAGCAAAGGAACCCATTTTTACTACTGGCTACTAGTCCTATTATTGAATATCACGATGTATGATTTCGCATGAGTTATTTGGAAATCTGGAATGCATTTTTAGAGATAAAACAAAGCTTTAAAATCTTCCTTCTTTGTTAATTTTTTAAGAACTAAAATACTATTTAACCTGAATTGGATTTTGTGATTTTTTTTAGAATAAACTATCAAAATCTATTTTGGTGTTAGGGTCTTTTTTAACCACCACCAAGAAAATAGTCAAGAAAGATGCACACACTTTCAACTTGTGCAATGGCTAAGCGCTGGCTTCAAACCAGTTTGAACTCAACAAAGTGCTGCGTGGGAGAAAGATGGGTGGCCTGCTCCGGTAAAGATGCGTCTGGAAACCCCGGTGGGGCAGTTCTACTCTGTCACACGAGTGAGATCAATGTCACGGTCTTTATGGGCAGGTGCTGCTCTCGGGGTGGACACGGGTCAGTGAACCACACCAGCCTTGCCCCAAACATGCTTATGTTTGGTGGAGGAAAGCCACAAAGCCTTCAACAAATCTCACCCTGGGCTGAGAAGTGCTAGCACAAGGCCACACAGGGTTTGATGGGTGGCATGGGGGCCTCTTCTATCTATAGGGGGTCAGGAAAGGTTTCTCTTAGCAGGTGGTGCCTTGGTTGAGAACTGATTGACAAAAAGGAGCCAGCCAAGGAAGTAGAAGAGAGACCAGCACTCCTAGCAGAGCCAACAGCGGGCACCAGGTGGCATTTCAAGAGTGGGCTGGCAGGTGGGGTGTCCAGTGTGGTGAGAGTGCGAGGAGGGGAGAGCAAGAGGAATGCACGGGCATGGTGGGCAGATGACAGGGCACCTCTCTTGGCCTGCAGATAGAGGTGTGCCCCCAAGCCCCAAGCAGCGGAGAGATGCCAATCACACGGAATTTCCTGTGTTCCCATCCCAAGATGGTTATTCCCTTACATGCTGGGGTGACCAGCTGGTGAAGGACCGGCCTTGGTGCCAGGAGCACCGTACTTTCCACAGTTTGCAGCTCCATGGCTTCCTCTGGGAGAGTCAGCTGCTGTCTTTCTTCGCCTACCTCCGTAGTCATGAATGGATGATCCTCCACGCCAGCCCACCCCAGCCCCATCCCGCCCTGCTGGCCTGCTGCTTCACTTTTATCTCTGCCACCCCCAGTCTCTTCAGGGACTTTTTCTTTTCAAGTTGAAGCTAGATTTTGTTATTTGCATATATTAATTTCTTAAACATAGATCTATAAAAGTAGCTCAATGTTTAAAGAGTTGTTTCCATTTCTTGATAAGATTACCTAAGGTAATACCTCTATTACACAACTAATTCTAAGGTCCAAAGGATGTGTGTGTGTGTGTGTGTTTCCCATTCACACCCGATAATAAATAACATTACCTAGTAATCTTAAGGAGCCCCAGTGGCATAGTAGTTCCAAATAGGGCTGCTAACTGCAAGGTCAGCAGTTCAAAACCACCAGTGGCTCCGAGGGAGAAATATGAGGCTTTCTACTCCCATAAAGAGTTGCAGTCTCGGGATGCAGAACAAAAAATCATATCAATGTGAACGAAGGGGAGTGCAAAGTGGAGACCCAAAGCCCATCTGTAGACAGCTGGACTTCCCCTTACAGAAAGATCACAAGGAAGAGACGAGCCCATCAGGGTGCAGTTTAGCACAGATGAAATACACAACTTTCCTCTAGTTCTTTAATGCTTCCTTCCCCCCACCCCCACCATCGTGACCCCAATTCTGCCTTACAAATCTGGCTAAACCAAAGCATGTACCTGGTACAGATAAGAGCTCACAACACAGGGAATCCAGGGCAGATAAAGCCCTCTGGACCGATATTGAGAGTAGCAATACCAGGAGGGGAAGGGGAAGGTGGGGGAAGAAAGGGGGAACCGATCACAATGATCTACATATAACCCCCTCCCAGGGGGAGAGACAACAGAAAAGTGGGTGAAGGGAGACATCAGTCAGTGTAAGACATGGAGGGAAAAAAATTTATAAATTATCAAGGGCTCCTGAGGGAGGAAGTGTGGTGGGGGCGGGGATGAGCTGATACCAAGGGCTCAAGTGGAAAAAAAAAAGAAAAGAAAATGATGATGACAACCTATGTACAAATGTGCTTGACACAATAGATGGATGTATGGATTGTGGTAAGAGCTGTACAAGCCCCCAGTGATTTTTTTAAAAAGAGGAGTGGCCGTCTCGGAAACTCACAGGGGCAGTTCTACCCTGTCCTTTAGGGTCACGGTGATTCAGAATTGACTCAAAGACAATGAGTTCATTTGTAATCCTCGGCAATCACCTTAATGCCTCAAACCTTAGGGACTGGTGGCTGGTGTTTTGTATTCTGTACTGTGGAACTAGACTGCTGGTTTGCAGTAAGTCCTGTCCTTGAATTTGTTCCCCTGCGTCTGGAAGGGTGGAGACAAGCAGTACAGTGGGCGCAGTGTTCCTCGGCCCTGAGAGGGGAGCTCAAAAGCAGCCAGCGCTGACTGAAACGTAGCACGACTAGGCATGGGAGGTTCTGTGGTAAAAGCCTCAGCTTTCGAGACAGACATGGGTTGGATTCCCAGCCGATGCATCTCGTGTGCAGTCACCACGCATCTGTCAGCAGTGCCCAGATGCTGTACAAGATTCAGCCGATCTACTTCTAAAACTCAGCCAACAGGAGCCCCGTGGAGCACAGCAGCCTGCTCTCCCACTGTGACACGAGGAGTCACCTTGATTGGGGGACCCACGTGATGGCAGGAACAACCATCAGAGGAGGAGGATGCTAAGCTGGATGGTGCCCTTCCTGCCACTGTTCTCCCCTTGGGTACCTCCGGTCCCTTGCCTGTGCGCTAAGAAGACTTTACTCAGTCCATAATCAATGCTGCTGCAGAAAATGCAACACAAATAACTGTGCTGGGTTGAGAGAGAAAAAAAATCAAAGCCTTCGTAGATTAAAAACTGCCTAAAGATCACAGATTGTAACTTATAAAACCTGGCCCGGCCAAATAAAGGCTTGATGGAAATAAGCAAGAGTTGCCTAAGACTACTCATAGTAAAGTCGGCTGGCAATTGATTTCAAATTGAACCCAATGGAAATAAATAGCTACAAAAGAAAACTTAGAAACCACAAGAGTTTATCGGAATAAGGCCTGAAAAACTAACTGATGACTCAGATTGTCCTCAAAAAGAATGAACTGAGTCGATACCAATTAAACTAATGTCACTTCAACGAGACAGGAAAATGTATATGCTTGGGAAGAGTTCCAACTGTCTAACTATTTCACATCACCTCCTCTCCCCTCCAACGCCCAAGCCCCCTCATCCTCATTCTCAGCACATGGTTTTGCTTCCTGTTTGGCTGAGAAAATTAAAACTGGCAGGAAAGAAGTCCCACGCCCTCCACCTCCACCATCCACACTCCCGATCTCTGAGAGCAGGTCTCCCGAGGCCCTGCCTGCTTAAGTTCAGTGCCTACTTTGGCACCGGCTCGCATCACCTCTCGCCTACTCAAGGACATCGAACCAGCCATTCAATCCTCTCTCCTATCTGAGGGGCTCTGTTGGCACAGTGGTTAGAATGCTAAGCTGTGAACTGAAAGGGAAGTCAGTTCAAACCCACCAGCCGCTCTGTGGCAGAAGGATGCCTTAGTCTGTGTCTGATGCCACATTTGATCTATTTGACCAGGGTTTCCTGTGCCTTGGAGTCCCCAGGTGGTGCAAATGGTTAGCATCCTCAGAGGCTAACTGAATAATTGGTGGTTCGAGGCCACTCAAGGCAGTGTGGAAAGGCCTGATGATCTACTTTTGAAAATCCATCATTGTAGCAGATGGTGTAAGATATGAAAATTATATTTTACAATTTATCAAGGGGTCATGAGGGTGGAAGGGTGGGAATAAAAGAGGATCTGATACCAAGGGCTCAGGCAGAAAGGAAATGTTTTGAAAAGGATGATGGCAACATATGTACAAATGTGCTCGATACAATGGATGTACAGAATATTATGAGAGCTGTAAGTGCCCCCAATAAAATGATTTTTTTTAAATCACATAGCTGATAGATGAGCCCAAATTAAAATTTACATACTAATTCTAAACCTGGTTCCTTTTTGCTACTTTATGCTCCTGTAATCCCTTTCTTTAAAAAGAAGACAAAAATAAAATGAGCTTCAGCTAACAAAAGAAGAAGTAGAAAATCCATTACTAAGGAGGAAGAGGAGGAGAAGAAGGACAAGGATCAGGAGAAGAAGAAATAGAAAATCCGTCACTGAGACGCACCTGGAGGCCAGCTCCACGCTGGCACAGATGGGCTTGCCATGAACCAGCACCAACTCCTGGTGGATCTGGGTCCGTGTCTTATTTCTTATATTCAACAAACAAAAATGCCCAAACCCTTCTCCTGACCTCACCCCACTTCTCCTGTCCGCCACCACTCACTTCTTTACTTCCCTTGGTGACAGACTCACCTGCACTGACCGTCTGTGGTGCCTCTCCTCCCTTGAAGCAACTCCTTCCCCCATTCTCCAAAACGGTTCCACCAAGTGCACCCATCGTCTCCAGCTTCCTCTATCCCACTCTGACGGGAGATCATTCCCACCTCCTGCAGACACTCTTCCCTAAGCATCCACTTCCAGGAACCCAGGGAGTCCTTAACCAGCTTTCTCCGAGTCCTTCAGCGGCTCCTTCCCTCAACCCCTGGTCACCAGCTACTTCCTCCCTATTCTCCCTTTGTTAGTAATCGCACTGAATCTCAGGGCTTGGAAGACCAGCTAGAAGCTAACGAATCCCAGATCGGCAGTACAATCCTTTCTCCCAAAACACAACATCCGCCACGGGGTCAACTGGGTATTTTAAACTCAACACATCCAACATCAGACTCCTGATCACTTTCCCCTCCTCCCAAACCTGCCCATCTTACAAAAAATAAATAAAAAAATCTAGACCTACTGTCATCCAGCCAACTCCACCACATAGCAACCTTACCCAACAGTCTAGAAACTGCCCCATAGGGTGTCCAAGGCTGTCAACCCTTATGGAAGCAGACAAGGTTCGAACTATGGACCTTTTTGGGTTGGCAGCTGAGTGCTGTAACCACAGGGCAAGGGCTCCTTTTCCTATCTTAAGAAAAAATAAATAAATGCTGCCAGTGAGTCCCTGCTGACTCACAGTTCGACTCTCTTCCAAAACCAAACCCGTGCACTGCCACGGAGC